ACCAGTTCAGGAAAAGGACGGAAAATTACGGTTTTGCATTGATTATTGTCGACTGAACGCTATTCTTACACGAGACTCCTTCCCTATGCCATGCATAGACGTGACGCTGGATGTCCTAGCAGGTACAAAATGGTTTCCTACCATCCATCTTAAATCAGGTTACTGGCAAGTCAAAGTGGAATACAAGGATCGACCTACAACTGCCTTTATGTTGCCTTAAGGACTGTTCGATTTCGAAACCATGCCGTTTGGGTTATGCAACGCAGAGGCCACATTCCAATGACTCATGCAAGTGGTCTTAGCTGCCCTACATCCATACTGTTGTTTTATTTACTTAAATAACGTCATAGTTTTCGGAAACACGATAGCACGATATAACGAAAATTCGATGGCCGTACTAGCAGCACTACACAAAAGAGGTGTACGGTTGAACCCACAAAAATGCCAGGTGCTACACAAAAAGGTCACTTTCGTAGGACATGAGATTAGTGATGACGGCATCCAGGCATCACTCGGCGGAGTTGCGGCCGTAAGAGCATGGCCAATACCACAAACACCAAGCGACGTTCGGGACTTCGTGGGCCTGACATTCAGTTACCGACGATTTGTACTGCACTTCGCAGAGATTGAGCTACCATTGCACAGACTCACCGAAAAGGACCAGAAATTTCAATAGACCGAGGGATGTCAAAACGCATCTGACGAATTAAACCTCGACTAATAACGGCACCCATTCTCATGTTGCCTGACACACAGACAGATGCCCCATCATTCCTATTGGATACGGATGTCAGTGGTTTTGAAATAGGAGCAGTTCTATCACAGTGCGAAGGCACCGGCACAGAACGCCCAGTCAGTTATGTCAGCAAAACATTGTCCAATCCACAACGTAACTACTGCACGTACCGACGTGAACTATTCGCTCTGATAACTTTCATCAAACAATTCAGACCTTTCCTTCTCGGGAGGCATTTCATTGCTTGGACAGATCACAAGGCACTCCAATGGCTACGGTCAATGAAGGACGCAGAAAGATGGTAGGTAAGATGGCAGGATTACTTGCAACAATCTGATTCTACTTGCCAATACCGTTCTGAGGCAAAACACACCAACGCCGACGCGATGCCACGACGTCCATCACCTCTACTTACCGAAGATCCCCCGGGGAAGCTGAACACAATCGCCAACATCACCACTAGCGAACCAACGCGACACCATTGAGTCATAGTTCAAAACGCAGACCCAGATACGGCCACCGTCTATGATCACCAGCTACTCGGCAAACAGCGCCCAACAGACGACGAACTACGGGGGTTTCTCGGAGAAGGCCATCATGCTACGAGCACAATGAACGTAATTATTTATTGAAAATGAATTATTGTTTTTAAAGGCGTCACAGATAGCAGATCTCGACTCATAATGTCAGGCTCCTTAAAACTGTCAGTACTTGGAGATATACATCGTGGACTTGGGCACGTCGGGCAGTCGAAAACAGAAACAGCGATTAGGCAATGCTTCTGGTGACCACACTTACATGAGCAAGTAGCCATTTTTGCAACAAATTCCCTACATGCGCTTCCTTTAAAGGAGCCAATCCGAGCTCAAAAGCGCCACTAAAATCAATACCAACAGGCTTCCCTTTCCAACGAATTGGCAGTTGCGTGACTGGGCCACTACCGTACACAACCAGCGGCTACTCAAACAATTGCATTCACGGTTAGTGCGCGACCCTGTAGGGGTGTTATGAGAAGCATCGAAAAAAGATAGTGGACGCACGCGGCTGTCGAAGCCCGTAGATTAGAAAGGCAGAAACGTCTCGAAACAGCAGCAGGAGCCCTGACTCGACTGACTGATAGGTCCAGCTTGGGCGTTGACAACAAAAGGCCTTCACTGGGAACGCTGAGTTGGGCTTACAGGAGGTGGGCTAACTCATGAAATGTCAACCGAAATTCCGGAATGCGTCTTAGTTTCGAAACGATTGGCTAAGAAGGGTTGTTAAACTAATCATCCTGCAGCACAATTATATACTAATTCAGTTACCTCAGGACTCCGGCTTTCGAGCACATTTCTTTCCGGCTGCATGAAGAAACTATACTTTGTACAAAATGACCACTAATGTGGCATGCATTTTTCTCATTGATTTTCAATGCCCTTAAAATTCAACTATACTTCTTTGAAAACATGCATAGAAAATCACTATTCTGCTCAATCGGTAGAAAATTATGTATTATCCCGATTTTATGCTCAAAGGAATGGTAAAATTCGGTTTTCAAAAACTTTTTCGATTACTGAATAATTTTGCACTAGGCTTGCCGTTACACTTACATTCAGGGTTTCCGAACTACAAACCATATATTTTCCGCGTACAGGGAACCATATATTCCTCAATAGTATTAAGAGAAGACCATATGAGATTCATAAAATTTAACGGTGGATTTGAGCCGTATTCTTAATTTTACAAGCCACATTGGTCACTGGGGAGACATGACGTTCTATGAATGGTCATTTCACGGTATTGAAGAATCTCACAATTATGAGCATTTTAAAAACCGAATCATGTCCTTTCTTCGAGCATAGGATCGAAAGAAGACGTAAGTTTCTACCGAATGAGCAAACGATTGATTTTTTTGCATGTTTGCTATGAAATATAACTGAATTTTTAACGAAATCGAAAATCATTGAGAAAATATTTGCTACTTAAGTTGTCACTTTTTACAGAGTATTGTTTTTGCATGCAGCCGGAAAGAAGTTCCTTCGAAAGCCCGCATTCCGAGGTAACTGAATTATTATGTATTTATGCTGTACGATGATCAGTACAACCTTACTTTATCTGTTCAAAACGAAAACGCTTTCCGGAATTTCGGTTAACATTTCATGAGTTAGCCCACCGACTCGAATAATTTTGAACCCGATATGCCGTTACAGTTACATTCAAGGTTTCCAAACTACAAACCATATATTTTCCGCGTACGGGAAACCATACATTTCTCTACGGGATTAAATGGACACCATATGGGGTTCATAAAATTCGGCAGTGGATTTGAGCCACTGTTCTTATCTTTACGAGCCACGTTGGTAAATGCAGAGACATGATGTTTTATGAACAACCGTTCCGCGGTACAATATAATCACACATTTAGAAACTTTTTTAAAACCGAATTATACCCTCCCTTCCAGTATAAAACTGAAAGAAGACGTAATTTTCAATCGAATGAGCAAAGCACTGATCATTTTTGCGCACGTTTTCCATGAAATATAATTGAATATTTAAGGGCATCGAAAACCAATGAGAAAAATGCATGCCACATAAGTAGTCATTTTTTTACAGAGTGTATTTTCTGCATGCAGCCGAAAAGAAGTTCGTTCGAAAGCCGGCATTCTGAGGGAACTGGATTATTATATAGTTATGCTGTATGATTATTATTTTTACAGCCTTACTTAGTCAATTTTCTCGAAACGAAAATAACATTCCGGAATTTCGGTTGACATTTCATGAGTTAGCTCACATGCTGGTTGCAGTATCTGGCCCATCTCATGAAATGTTAACCGAGATTTTTAAATGGGTCTTAGACTAGAAAGGATTATTTAGATGGGCTTGTGACAGTGATCCTCGTGCAGCATAATCCAAAGATATTTTTAGTTAGGTCAGGATGCTAAATTTTTAATGCATTTCCTTCCGGCCGTCTGCAAATGACTACATTCAGTTAAATATGACTACTTACTGGACATGAATTTTACCCACCTCTTTTCGACGCACTGACAAATACAAATATGTTTTGCAGAGATGATGTGTAAAATATTCTTCTCCATAATCCCTTTGGTAATGGAGCATGTCCTTTTCAGATTTTATACTCCAAGAAAAGGTTTCCTTGGGCTTTAAAATTCTTTCAGTTTGCGAATAATTTTGAGTCCCGTCTGTCGGTGCATTTGCGTATAGGGTATTGAGTTCATGAGGTGTATGATCATTTCTGAATTACCAAGCACGTCTGTTGAACTCGTCTGTCTTTTACCCCAAGGCAATAGATGAACGGCAGTGTCAGTCCTCAGTTTAATCATAGCGTTCTGAGATTTGGCAGATGGACGAATCATTATTTGCGCTGAACACCGGGTAGCCAACGGGGGATTGAACTTTCAATTTGAAACTGGCGTCCCCGCATTAACTTCCAGAGGATTTGGGGCTAGGGTCAAGGTTAGTTTTGAGTTTAGTGTAGGCGTTGTGATAGGGGTCATGGTTAAGTTAGGGTAAGGACACGGAAATATGTACCCCTCCAGGAATTTAGCGCCGGCCACCTGTTTTACGGGGAAGGGCATTCCTACTCCTGTTTCTTGTCGAACTTTGTGTTTCGCCATGTCAGGTACTTTAAATTGTTGGAAATTTGAACTGACGATTTTGGGTTATTGAAGCGTCACGATATTTAGTTGTGAGCCCTATCACCGGATTAGAAGCTGGTTTGTTTCAAAAAAGGCAACTGGATCCGTGGGCGACTGTTAGTTCATAACTAAACATTTCATCTACCTTGAGTAATACTGACTTCAAAGGAAACGCTTACTGCTGTTGCACTGCTAGACAAGAGTAAGTGCCAAACGGCTTTATTTGCATGTTCGAATTATAGCTGGCTGAACGTCTGTGTCCATAAAAATTCATCCGACCTAATAATGCACACTTACCTAGTGCGCCTTTACGAAACACATTATCAGAAAATTACCCCCCCTCCTTTGTCCTCGTTACGACCATCTTCCAAGATCCCATATCAAAAGTTTTTTTGAAAATAATGAAGACGCTGCTCTAGCTTGAGTCATAATTAAGTGTTCCATACACAGACAAATAGCGACAAAACAAAGAACAACACTCGATGTCGTAATACGGTGAGACATTCTAGGATGCACGGCTCACCCCTGCACCATACACAGAAGACAGCAAATTTTAAAAAGATTCTGCTATATGCATTCATTTATTATAACTTGCAACAAGAAAAAATTAGCCTGGTAGTCGAGGCTCGTTAGTCCAATTTTGACAAATATACCCCTTTTCGTTCTGATCGCTTCTTGAAGTCCGTCCACTTCTTCACAAGTCGCGCGGCCTCTAGTAGGGGCTCATGGTAAGCATCTTCGGCTTCCAAAAGATCCTGCTGTCCAAAGGCAAGAGGAAAAATTACGAGAGCAGAAAAAAGTTTGTCTGGCAAACGCGTTGTCAAAACCGGGTGGCACGCTGAAGAGCAGTCACAAACCCAAGATTAGAGCATGTGCACCTCTCATTTCAACCTCTTACATACCACATGCGTAATATCAAAGTTTTGGATGAAAGTTGACGCGGTTGGGCTTCTTGCATAAATGGTAAAGAATGTGAAGTCGAGTTTTAATGGCTGAAATTCTGAAGAGCATTATGTGGATGAATTTAAGGTGGTTAACCTAAAGCTTTTAAATGTCCAGTTGTTCCTAGTGGGTCCTCTCCTACCGTCGGCAGTCAAAATAATTTTAGGTCAAAAGAGGTCATGCAGACGGCGTGTCTAACGAAGTTATTTGGCCAAATATTGTCTGAGTAGAGGTCAATCAGGGGTGTTTTGGTTAACGTAACATTCGCCTTGCTACTCAAAGCTTCCTTTTCTGGATTCTAGTGCACTCCTAAATCAAGTGTGTTCACCTGGACGCTATAGTTCCTTCATTTTTGCTGACAGTTATAACGTCTATTCAGATTTAATATAAGGGAGAGGCAGCAAGTAGCTTTCACATATTAGAAAAAAACTGACTAGCCAAATGTGAAACAGGTTCCATACAACGCGGCATATAATAGGGTAGAAGAAAGGGGTCAGGACAACTTGGCGAGACGCTTACATAGATGCTCTTTCCGGTAGTCGGCATCGTCAGAGCCGCCAAACAGCAGAAGAGGGCAAGGGCCCGAGGCAGCCACTTTCCACAGCTCCCTGACATGTTGTGCAGAACCAGTGTTGAAGGACTCTGTTCTAACGTTCTGTATGCATTCTTTATATGCTCATCTTCCACCAATCAGGAGTCGAGTTAGGGTGGAATGCAAACCGCAGGCACACGCTGGGACACACTTTGAGTATCTTCAATCGGAAAGAGTTTATTGTCGTTTCATGTTCTCCTAGGTTGCGTTTACGTCCATTTTCTGCAACGGAACAGATAGAGCTTTGACTGAAGAGTTTAAAATTGTTCTTTAAAAACACAACATCGCAGGTGTGGTTTTAATAGTTCTATGCATAAGGTCATTTTTTAAGGCGAATAAGATTTGAACGTTACGAATTTTTCCAAATTTACTTTTTATAGATTTAGAAGTCTGAAGCTTATCTTCCCAAGTATGAACTAAAAACGGGCATGTGCAGCAGGATTTATCGGTGCCAGTAAATTTCGTGATGGCTTTTCAACTGCAGCCCGTCTCTGCATAACATAGGTAACGAATGGAAGCTCACAGCAATATGAATTGATAAAGAATGCCAGTGCAAAGGAGTAAAGTCAATATTCAAGGCAATGAATAATCAGATGAAAGATGTTTTCATAAGCAGCATATAGAAAAGCGGGAGACGAAATTTTAACAACAAATCACAATCACGAGTAAATCGAGGCGTGAAGGTTACCAAGGCAATTGCAGATTGACCACGGGATCTAACTTATTGCATAGGTCTGGTTTCTCCCTCCATATGTAACCTGCTTCCGAGTACAAAGTTCGAGTTATATGCGTTCGGACAAGTACTCGAAAAGCTGTTTTAGTGTCGACAACATGACCGCTATCTAACGGGTGTTTCTTAATAGACGAACGAGGGGTTTGTTTGCCTGTTTGAAAAGCCAATTTTGAAAATGTTCACTGGCCCTGGTTGCCAGTTGCCTTTACGTTCGCCCAATGTGCTTGCATCCGCAAGTGCAGGTGAATTCGTACATGCAGTTTGGGGTGGCATGCATCGGCAAGGCATCCTTTGCATGGTTAATTGGAAGGCTTTTGGTAGAACTGATGAAGACGAGTTTTGCTGCATCGTAAGTTATTTCTCTGGTGCAACGTAGGCGTCGCTTGATTGGGTTTGAGACGTTGTCACTCTTAAAAGGTAAGCATGTTATAACGGTCTCCTTCGGAACAGACTCTTCTGTCAACTGTGACCGTAGGTGGTTGCTATACCTATGAATGGAACGGGGAGGATAACCACGATTAAGTAAGGCCTCTTGGATGCAGTCAGATTCTGCATCAATCGTCTCCCTGGAGCAATTATTTCTCGCTCTTTGAAAATGATTATGTACTAGATTTCTTTTCCATTGTTTTGGCGCAAAGCCTTTAAAATTTAAGTATTGACCTTTCCGCGCAGTCTTGTGGAAGACGGAGCGTATTATCGAATCATCATTCTCTCTAAACATGAGGACGTCGAGGAAGGGTAAATTGTTACACTGCTCCATTTTCACCGTAAATTTGATTTTCGGATGCAAATTATTCATCACACACAGTAGGTCGGCGACGGTTTCCTTGTTGTCAATCGTGTCAGATGTCTCCTGTATAATGCTGTTATGTTTAATTTTGGTTACACCTTTTCTTCCAGGTAACCAATAAAAACGTCGGCGAAGGTTGGCCCGAGTGGACTACCCAGTGCGACTCCGTCAATTTTAGAAGCATCTTTCTGAGAAAAAATTCATTAAAGTACCCATTCGTTGGAGTTAGTTTCAGAGAGACAGGTCTTTTGGGGAACTCGTAATTAAGCCCTTTGTATGTGCTGGTAATCGTAACGTTTTTCTACTCTCGCACTTTATGGACCGTGCACGTATTTCGGGTTACAACCCACCTTGGGATAAATGCTGTCCAAATGGTGTCCCGTGATTATGTTTTATCTTTCTGGAATTAGACAAGCTAAGGCTTGTAAAATATTGTTATCTTATGGAAAGTTTCAACGCCCTCCTAAAGTACGTCCATATATATGTATATATACTCATATGACCACAATAAAACTCAACTTTGATTACTTCCTAGACCAAATGACCCTCTTATTTAAATGGTTAACTTGTAAGGAGAACTAATTTTCTATAAAATGACTGTGGTAAATTAAATGTCATTCAATCGCTTTACGCCAATGTATTCCATCTCACAAACAGTGAAAGTTAATGAGGAAAGTGGATAGCAGTTAGGTTCGATTTAGTTTACTGCAAAGGTGACCGCAAGATTCTTAGCCATAGGCTGGTGTTGGAAAGATACAATCCTACTTAAGTAACAGGTTGTTCCTCAAGTACAACTTATATATCTGAATGAACTGTTCAGACGTTCCGATGACCATTATTAGCAGCTAATAAATGGCATTTTCTATGAAAAAAAATGTTGCGACCATTATTTATAAGAAAAGGCCTTTTGGGTGTGATTTTGAAGAAACAATACGGCATACCACTAGCTTTGACCTCCGATCACTAATGAGGTCACCGGTCATTTACTTTGGTTAGCTGAGTCACAGTGAACAGACAAATCAGGTTAATTTCCGTTGTCCCGCCTTACATTCCAGCTTCCTCAAACTTTGCGACGATAATTGCGGCCATATCTGACATATGAATTTGGGGAAAACATGCTGAAACCTGGTGACATACTGCCACCAGCCAGTGTTTGAATACTGAAGCTTCCGCCATAACCTACTAAATTACTCGGAAGCTGGGGTGTTCAGTAGGCGCACTTTGGGTTCCACTGCAGGAACATGCCGGTTACTTTCGCCTGAGACGGTGCGCCGATTTCCAATGCTTTTATGAAATGTGACAGTCAGTTTCCTTGTATCTCAAGCAATGAAGCAAAGAGGTCTAAGGAAGTCCAAATTCTTAGATCGGAGTGAAACTATAAAAAGCAGTGTAGCAAATTTTGAAATATGTTTATTACTAACTTGATTATTTAGAGACTAAAGTTCTGCGATGTGAAGCATCGGATGGCAGCAAGATTACTCACGGACCTACGGCAGATTCGACTTCTTTTAATGAGTATTTCGAAACAAAAAAAATCAGTAAAATAAGATTGGCTGATATGTCTGCCGTCGAGGAAAGCTAAGTGGGTCACTACTTATTAAAATAGCTCCCCAAACTTATAAAACATTGACCGAAATGGCCGAAGATGCTTTGAAATGGGAAACGTCTCCTTATTTCAATCACAATATGAAGTCATCAGTCATGCAAGTCTATGCGTCATGCTGAAAATGTGGTTAGAAATTTATTAGTTAGTCCATGTCAATCACGCATTAAAAATCTACCTGGCTAGACTCCAAGTCTATGGTTGTTTCGCATTGACCCAAGAAGGTCAGTCAAAATTCAGCAATAGGATGACCAAGTATTCCATTGTATATGCTTAATTCGTTGGAAAGTGCTGTTTGGCAGGTTACCTTTGAAGAATTCCATGTTCCTGTTTTGACAAAGTAACTTTTTTAGTTGAAGCCTAAAACACAAACTGCCTCTTCTGCCGTTCCGAATGGTTACAGAGTTCAAACCCCGTGTCTCCCTAAGAACCACATGTGTAACTACATGTCTCTACTAATAGAAATTGTATAGCTAAAATATTCTTTGAACTAATGTGATTGAGGTTGTATAGTCTGCCAGCACTATTAGCACATCTGCCTCTGAAGGCGTATAAATATGAATCAGCTGTTTTTCAAATATTAATATAAGGAGCATATGTATCATTTCTATGAAGCGCAATCGAATTTCAACAGCCACTTAACAAATACACATTACTGTCATGATTCGTTTTCATGAATGCGGTCTTCAGGAGGGGATTATTTTCACAACTAAATCCAAAATTAACCTGTCCTGTCCAGTTGAATGAGAAAATTGTACAGTTACAATGTCTGAAAATGACATAGGGCAGTGAGCAAAATCTGTCAGGTCAATTTGACAAAATGTACTTATCCATCACTCGTCTAATTCGTAGAATGTGAATGGATGAATTTCTAGGCTTACGAAAAACGGTAGAAGATGAAGCATCGAAACAACTCCCAGAAAATTGCAGTTCTGAGGAATTTACTCACATTTTGCGCATGCGTATTTGTTAAAACTCTATCTGGTGTATATCATGTTTGGGTCCAATGTGAACTGAACACATTCATTTATTATCTTTAACATAGTGTTTAACGAGGCTGACGAGGTCTAATAGGCCGGAAATGTCCATTCCGGACTCTCTTGTTCTTGTCCGTCTTCATTCATTCATTTTCAGGGCTAACTTGGAAGTCTCCTACAAATCTAAAAATCTCTTTAGTCGTGGGAGATAGTGGAGTGATTATTTTTCTGATTTCTATTACTGTGAGGGATTAAAGACACGAAGAGTGGAAATATCGAAGGACAAATAATTGACCCCGTATTGTCCGGTCGACTGAAAGAAAACACACTCAAGGGGAACAATGTTTTCGCCAAGCAACCAGAATCACATGGATGACTTCCGGGCCAGCGGATCTGGACAAAGTTCCTCGGATAGAGGTAACCTAGAGGACAAGTCTGAACAAGTGAATGGTAAGACTTACAGTGAGCAACTATGCCCAGGAAATTTCGGGCCGAAATTCTGAAATGTGTCTTTGATTACTAAGGACTTCTTAGGTAGCGTTGTAATATGAATTACCACGCGGCATAATACCATGATGTTTCGGACTTGCCCGAATGTTGGCGTCTGAATGTTCATCTTTCCGGCCTTCTGTAAATACCGCACTCTGTGAAAAATAACTACTTAACCAACGTGTTTTTCCCATTGATTTTCGATGGTCTTATGAACTGCTATATATTTTATAAAACAAATGCACAAAATATACTTTATTTTGCTTATTTGTTAGAAAATCTCCTCGTTTATTGATTTTACACTTGAGGTAAGGGCATATTTAGGCTTTGAAAACGTTATCTGATTCCCGAATTTTTTTGAGCCATATTGGCCGTTGCATCACCGTTTGCCGATTTCAATCTACATGGTATATACATTTCACGTATGGAAA